CTAAGGACCACAGACAGAGAGAGAGACACGTTTCAGCTTATAATCCGCTAACACTTTATGTGTATAATGCATTATACAGTAAATGGCTACTACAGGCTATAATGCATTATAATGATTCATAATGTGCACTGTCAAGTCAAGCCAAGTCACTGTTATTTAGATTGTGTCAAAGCAGCTTTTCAGACAGTATTAAACAGGGAAACGGTGTCCCTGCACGAGACCAGCAGTTTAATTCTAGGCTGCAGCAAAGTCAGATTGTGCAGAGGACTCATTGTATTACATTTATATCTTGTCATAATTATAACCAAATTTAAAATGCATTGAGTAACAATTAATTTATAATGAATTAACTCAGGTTACAGTTATTTGTGAGATTGTACAATGCATTATAAGGTGCATTACAAGGCATAATTAATGCATTAAAACTACTTTTATATTGCATTACATATAAAGGCTTTAAGTAAAGTGTTACCAATAATCCTTGATTGGCGTACAGGAAACATTGTTTTCTGTTAAATGTACTAAAATAAAAAAAAATGTATTTGCTGCTCGAGAAACATTTCTGATTATTATCAATGTTGAACACAGTTGTGCTGCGCAATATTTCTGTGGAAACTGACGCATTTTATTTCTCAGGATTCACAGATGAACAGAAAGTTCAAAAGAACAGCGTTTATTTGAAATAGAAATCTTTTGTAACATTATAAATGTCTTTACTGTCACTTTTGATCAATTTAATGTATCCTTGATGCATAAAAGTATTAACTTCTTTTTTATGGTAGTGTATCACACGACTGTTTTCAACATGGATAATAATCAGAAATGTTTCTCGAGCAGCAGATCAGCATATTATACTGATTTCTGAAGATCTTGTGACACTGAAGACTGGAGGAATGATGCTGAAAATACAGCTGCGCATCACAGAAATACATTACAGTTTAACACATATTCACACAGAAAACAGCTATTTTATATTCTAATAATATTTCTCTATTTTTACTATATTTTGCTTAAATAAATGCAGCCTCGAGCAGAAGAGACTTCTTACAGAAACATTAAATAATCTGAATTATTCCACACTTTTGACCATATGGACCATTTTAAGAACAAGCAACACATCAGAAGAAGAACACGTTCAGCGTGAAGCGAATGACTTTAGCTCTATTTAACATGTTAAACTCATCCAGCAGAATTGCAGACTTCCATCAAAATCAGCGCAGAAGATGCGTAGAAATGCTGGTCTGGACGAGCTCTTAGAGTAGAAGACTCTCTGAATCTCAAACACTCCTCATCTGCATCGCGCACGGACGACAGCTCTTCATGAAGTGCCGTCCTGAGATAAATACTTTTACAAAGACAAAAAGAGGACGGCAGAGATGGGACAGAGCAGAACGGATGTGAGGAGAGACGGAGAGCATGCTTTATTTGACGTGCTGAAGCAGATGTAATTGAAAAAAACCTGTCAGGTTTCCCTCAGCGGCGGATTTTAATGCGATAGTCTGACAGAACGACACGCTCCGCATGTGCAATGAGACAGATGCACGGATCTCACACACTCACACACACACACACACACACTCATACACACTCACTCACACACACACACACACACACACACACACACTCACACTCTCACACACTCACGCTTTTAAGGGTCTTTTAAATCTTCAGAAAGTGCTGTATGTCTGCGTGACTCATGATGTGTTGGCCGTGTTTCTGATGTCAGGCATGTGTAACCCCAAGAACTTGAGCGACACGCCGGCGACGGCTAAGAGCACGGTGGAGGAGCTGCAGCGGCCGATCCCCTCGCTCTTCAGAGCGCTGACCGACGGAGACGCTCCCATCAACACACACACGCACTTCATCTGTAAATTTAAGTCTGACTGCTGTACTAAACTCTAACATCTAAACTCTTATGTGTGTCGTACAGAAAGACTCATGGGCCTCACGGAGACGATCCTGTCCCACCGTATACATGCTTCTCTGGGTAAACATGTTTTCAAATCCAGTCCACACTGCAAGCAATACATAAATAAATACATATATATATATATATATATATATTTTAAAAAATTTCTTAAACACATGTTGTAAACAGTGAGGCTAAATGAACATATTTTTCTAAATATATTTCATTGAAATCCTGCCACGCTGGCTACATATTTCAGACGCTTAAGATTTCAGATACTTTCAGATATTTGGGAGTTGTTTTTTTTTTTAATAAACTGAAGCCATGAAGAAGAAATAGTCTAACGGTAGATAAAATAATAGAGTGATAGACAGAACATTAGAACGATAGACAGAATGACACATAGAACATTAGAATGATAAAAAGAATGACAGACAGAATGATGAATGATAGAAAGAATGACAGAATGTTAAAAACAATAGATAAAACAATAGAATGATAGAAAGATAGATAGAATGACAGATTGAGCATTAGAATGATGGATGGATGGATGGTTGGACGGACGGATGGATGGACGGTTGGATGAATGTATGGATGGACGGATAGATAGATAGATATATAGATAGATGGTTGGATGAATGGATGGATAGACGGATGAATGGATAGATAGATAGATAGATAGATAGATAGATAGATAGATAGATAGATAGATAGATAGATAGATAGATGGTTGGAGGGACGGACGGACGGACGGATGGAGGGATGGACGGATGGACGGATGGATGGATGGATGGATGGATGGATGGACGGACGGACGAATGGACGGATGAACGGATGGACGAATGGATGGACAGACGGATGGATGGATGGTTGGATGAATGGCTGGATGAATGGATGGATGGATGGATGGATGGATGGATGGATGGTTGGATGAATGGCTGGATGGATGGATGGTTGGATGAATGGCTGGATGAATGGATGGATGGATGGATGGATGAATGGATGGATGGATGGATGGATGGTTGGATGAATGGATGGATGCACAGTGTGCAGTGCACAAACATTAAATTTAATGTAAATCATCCATGCTAACACACACGTTTTCTATTTCATTTTTCATTTTTCATTTGAAAGTAGACATTTCACTCTCTATAGATATATTTTTCATATATAATTGCTGTTAATAGTGTTCATAGTCAGTTTGATTACGTCTTTAGTTGATTTTTCCGTACATTTCTGCCATATTTACATTTACTGACAGTCACCACTGAAAAGCTACTAATAAATATATTGTAGAAACATATATTGTACAGCTGCTTTGCAATGATTTGTATCGTGAAAAGCGCTATACAAATAAACTTGAATTGAATTGAATACACAGAGTTTCTTAGTTTCTCGCTCAAGTTCACAGAGACCGAGACGGCAGAAAGCGTATCCTGTTTGCTTGAATTATTTTACAGAAGTGCAACATTTCGTTGTTATTCTGAGTGCACACAAATAAACGTAGAGTCTTTAAAGAATGATGAATTGAAAGATGTATTACTTTTATCTGTATAACCAAAAATTACGGAGTATTTTAAGAGCAAGTGAGCACACCGGTGCCTCCATCTGTCCTGTAGTGAGCTACTGTTCAGCTCCACACTCCACACACACACTTGAATAGCGCACATTTCTCTACGTTAACATTAGATTGAGCAGCCATGTAAAGTTGTTACTACATACATCTTTGATAAAAAGCCATGTCCTGCCGGATGTACTGTACTACCACAAAGACCAGCCGTTAACGATCTGTATGTCATTCACTTAACCAGCCACACCAGAGCAAACAGGAGGAGAGCATAAAGAGACAGGGCAACTAGAATTGAGTTCAAAATTAAAATATACAGTTTATGGTTTATTTATATAAAAGGTATATTTATGTATAAAGTTGGGTATCATTGTGTTATCACGATTCCCGGTCCCGCCCACTCCCTCTGACATTTTTTCCTGTCCCGTCCCAATCACGTGATTAATAGTGATTTTGTTTCCCATCCCGCGGGATTCCCGAAAAAATGTCAGCCTCTACTGCGCAGACGTGACACTGAGTGCAGATTCACTGGATAGAGACACAAACTCAGTCCTGCTCTTCTTCTCACAGAAGGTGATGATTAGAGAAAGCGCTGGAGAGACTCAGTCTCAGAGAAACTGTGATTGAACCCGACCCAACGCACAGATTAAAGCAGAGCGTTATTATCCTGCTGCTGTTCAAACACACGCACAGGTCAGAGAGAACATCAGAAAAACCACTCTTACTGAGAAAATAAGCCACCCTGATCAGCACTGAGAGTGTGTGTGTGTGTGTGTGTGTATTTGAGAGTGTTGATCTCCTCACATCCCATCCACTCTCTCATATCTCCTCATCTCTTCATATTGCCTGTCACCATGGTTACCATGTGTCCGGTCACCTTATCAATCTCTCTGTCACACACACACACACACACACACACACACACACACTGCTGTAGGTCAGTCATCAGTGATTTGATGTTCTTCCGAGTGAAACGCAGACGGTGACATTCAGATCAAATCAATCAAAACTCAATTCAAAGGCATTTTTCTCAGTTTTGACATTATCATTTCCCACAATGCAATGCTCTCAGACAGACCGGCACCTTCTAGTGTGACAAACTAGAAACAATTTAATATAGTCACTAGTGCTCACACACACACAAACACACACTCAGGTCTGACCTTTGCATTTAATCGTTTTGAGAGTGTTGAACTCGCTGTAACATCTTTAATCATTTAAACCATCCTGTCTGTGGTCAAGAGACACAGAGACACACACACACACAGAGAGAGACAGAGAGAGAGAAAGAGACATAAACACGCTCAACATCAGATCTTACAGTGAGGAACGCGTCGATCATCACTAACAAAAACAGATCCTACAACATCTAGCTTTCTTCAGACAGACTTTGCTTTTCCGGCTAAAAAGTTAGTTATAAATGATCAACATGATTAAACTCTGCTGTCACACTCGATCTCCTGCATGTCGTCTGGTTGATCGTTCAGAGTGTTTTATCCAGTCAAAGCACTTTTAGTGTAACTG